GCACAATAGTCCACCTTTAAATAGAAACTCCTGCCATTTTCCACAAGGTCAGAGCATAAACACAAAATAACTTCTGCAAATGTATACTTTACCAATAAATGAGGTAGGGATGCAATATTAGACATTAAGGCAGCAGCAGTATAACCTTTGCCAGATATAGGGGTCAATTCATTCAGTTTCAAGTCTTCTCATTAGTTACGGTATGCAAGAGTAGAACAGAGGGATATGTTATTTACTCACTGGGTTGTTAAAAGCTCAACAGAAACAACATAGCACAGCAGAGTCTGTTAAGCTCCAGCCATGCTTCAGCCTGGTACTACTGGAACCTCATGCAACAGAGAAGCAGATGTAGCAACACTCAGGATCACACCTGCAAGTATGAAACTCAGCAAGGTGCTCTCATGACAATACAAAGCATACGTGCACCTTAACACCGTGTAAAAATAAATGATTGTAATTAAATAATGAGCACAGAATCCATAGATGCCCATTCAGCAAGCACAACACATCTTGTGCACTGAACGAATCTTGTGCAAACTCAGTGTATGACTAATTAAAACTGCTAGCAGTACACAGGCACAGGTGGGTTTTATCTTAATTCTGGATGCTAACACTCCTACCTTTGCAATAATAGTATGTTTTTGTACATTATGGAGGTAAGGAACTATAATGGAAAGCTGAAGACCTATAATGTTCGCTAGTCATTAATTAATATGAGTCCACGCATGATATCCTCATGCAGATAACACTCAGTCTGATGACACAGAAAAGAACTTCTGCCACAAATGCCTACTTCTAGTGTTATTTTGGCTTCCTGACTTTCAAACCATTTGTCTGGACTATCCACTGCTCGTTGACAGTTAGAGGTCAAGGGAAAAGCTTCCTAGCGTTAACATTTTAATACCAGTTCATTTCAGGTATCAACACTCATACCTCACTCTAGCTCCACAGCAGGATTTACAATCACAGCAACATTGCTCAGAAGGGATCTCTGTAAGTTTTCAGCCCAACCTACCACTCCAAGAAAGGCAAGAACAGTCACTAGACAGGGTCAACCATGACTGTTGTGTTAAGACTTAGAAACACCTAAGCATGGGTGCTCTGCCACCTCCCTGTTGTTCCTGCTTGCTGCATAAGTATCTATACATTATTATTTTAAACACTGCTAAAAAATAAATTAAACCTCTCTGGCAAATTGCTTCATGGTTTGCTCATCCAGACACATGAACTGATAGTGTGTGGTGCACTATGAAGAGCACCAGATTCCTTGGCCAAACATAGACACAGAAAACCCTTAAAACTCAAGATTCTCTGGATATATTTAAAATCCAGGTATTCTCAAGTTTCTGATGAAGCATGTCTTTATGCTCCTCTCCCTCACTGTATTTACTGATAGTCCCCTGGTCCTAGAGTCTGTTGTGTTGCAAATATTTTCAAACAAAAGCTTTTGTATTGGCACCAAAATGGCTGCTCCCTGCCTGATTATACTACCAGTGTAATTAATGCTTAAGGCAGTTACATTTTTGTTATTGAGTAGAGGTTCAACGTGGCACTGAAATCTTGCCTCTGAAGCCCAGGAGAGTTATAGCGTTGGTTTCTGAGACAAGACAGTGTCCCATTTCTTCTCTGCAATTAAAAACAACCACTGAGTTTCAGATAATACTAGAGGTCAAAATATCCAAGTGCTATAGAATATATTTAACTACATACAATTGGTACCTACTTAAAAGGCCTTAGAAAATTGCACGTTATACAAACCAATCAAGCTTTCAAGGTTTACTCTGCAACTAAAACATCTTAACCAGAAATATAATCTAATTCTCTACAGGTCACATACAAAAATACAGATGGCTACAGGTAAACACACTCAGTTAATACCGGTTGGCATTCACTCAGACCTTATTCCAGGGCTCTCAAAGTACTTTACAATGACCAGCCTTTTTCATAAAGGAGGGATATCTGTAGCTTGCATTTATTTTTACACAGGGTAAATTAAGACTGAGGGTCAGGGCTGTAATCAGAAACAGAAAGGCAGGACCTGGGGCCCCAGTTTTTACATAGCTCACCTTCTAATTAGAGTTATGCATGTACAACAAACAGAAACTCTAATTGGGAGTTCTCCAATTAAACAAATCCTCTAAGAAAGCTATATGCATATTTTCAAGGCTGGAAAAGAAAACATTTTAGGATGCTGAGCAAGCAACTGCATGAAACTTAGCTTTCTTATTGAGCTAAGTGGTTCAAGAACTCTAAATTTTGAAGTCTTTATTGGATTTGTAAGCTTTTTGTAAAGGACTGGCTTCACAATGTAAAGGCAATAAAAGATTCACCACAAAAAGTTCACCAATGTTCTGTACCTTTTAGTTTTTATCATTATTGCAATGTATAAAGAAATATTAATTTCCCAGAGAGACTCTGAAAACACCTTTCTTTTCTGGGCAAATGAGGTACAGAAACAAAAAGAAATACTGAAGAACAGTAGTGCTCATTAGGCACAGACTTGTACTCAGCCTTCAGTTTAGCAGACAGGCAGTTTAACCCACACACAACAGCTTTATCTCTTCCTAAGTTTTCTGACCAGAGGCCTTGCTGATGGAACTTGGTTACTTCTACCAAGTTTTCTTCCATGCATCCTTCTGATAGAATGATTTAGAGCTACTTCTTATTGTTATTGCTGCTGTTTTCATTAGACATGACATTGCTTCATGCACTGCATAGTAACAAAGAGACAAAAAAAAGAACAGTTTGGCTGAAACAACAGGAGCATAATGTCAGGCCTAATTCAACAAAGCTGGTGCAGGAATGCTTAAAATGGCAAAAAGAAAAAACATCTCGTCAAAGGGGAAAACAGAGATGGTCAAACCTATGGAAACCAGACAACACGGGATATGCAAAGGCAGATTTAAGCATCATCCCAGTTCCACAGACATTCTCCACAGACCACTGGTAGAATTAGCAGGCAGAAAGGGAATCAGTGGATACCCACTACACTTGTCAGATTCTAGGAGGCATTTTCAACCTTTATAACATGGTGGATAATTTAATGTCTCTGGAAGATACCTGTTTGCAATGCTGTGGGCACTAGGTCTTTTTGTCAGAAAAGCTTTCCCAGCCTAGTTTTCATCACAAAGACTCTCTCCCATATGATATAAGTCAAGATCTTCAAAGACTCTGCAACTCTTACCTTCTGGGACCATAACAGGGTGGGAAATGAGTTAGCAACACTGTGAAGCATGTACCATAGAAGCTAAGATATAACCCAAAGCACTACAGAATTGGAAAAATAAGTATGACAGTAAATCTAAATGAATGCATGAAAAAATGAGAAGTGATCTTTTTCAAGAACAATGGGTCATGCCAGACAGCCTAGAAAATTTGTGCAAAATCACAGGATAAATGCACAAAGGGAAAGCAACAGATCATATTTTACAGAAACATTTATGGTTTGGTGGGTGGAAAAAGGTTTTTTCGACAGATTTTTACAGACCTAATCAAACCCAGAAAGTTCAAATGTTTCTTTTTGCCTATACTTAGTGCTACTTTATAGATAGTATTTTGCTTTAATCTAATTTATCGAGACTTTAATGAGACTTTGGTACTTTACTGCCTGGAAAATTATTACTGACACTAGAAATATGGTGCCTGGTTATGAATACTGCAATGAAGATATGAAGTTGCCAGACATATTGTAAACAGAGCATAATTACAGTATTTACAGTTGAACATCAAAATGGGAAGAGATGCCAAGTGGCATTTCTCAGAAGTTAATATTGGGAATTATACAATCTAGTATCTTCCCTAACAATTTGGAAAATGAAGTGAATTGTATATTGATTGAATACATGGTAGACACAAGAAGATGAACTACAACACAGCAGGCAGGTGGGAAGGTTGAAAAAACACAAAAAAACAACCAGCAACAGAAAGATTTGGAGGACTAAAAGAAGAGAGAAGGGTGCAGTTAAGAGGGAAGCTGTTTAATACAGAAAAATGTAGAATAATAAGCTTGGAAAAAATGAATGCCCATCTCATGTAACCAAATGGGAAAATGCCAGTTTTCATTAAAAAAAAATTCCAAAAGATTTCACAGTTTATTCACACTGAAAATTCACACTGGGGTATATGCATCAGGTTTGACAACTTGTTTGCTATGTTCCAGCCTGATGTGATTTTAAAAGGAAGAATAATATATTTTCTTAAAAACATGCCTTTTAAAATAAATTTTAACTTATTTTAAATGTGTATGGAATGCTCATAAAAGACCTAATTTATAATCTTACTTGCAGAAATAACATTATAATGTAATGTCAGTGACACAGAAGAAGCACATGAGAGGTTAAAGGTGGGGGCCAGGAAGCCAAGGCCTATCTATCTCTGATACTTCAAGGAGTTTTAAGTGTTCACAAAGTATAGCAAAATCCATGAAATACTAGGCTGCAACTAATTTGCTGATTTTAATTAATTTAAAGCTCAGCTGTACCTTGAGGAAAGCTACTACTGTATAAAGGAAAGTAGGATTCTGAGGGATGCAAAGGGAAAAAAAAAAACCTGAACAAATACTGAAACAAGCTTGCTGCTTTACATGACTACTGTATACATTAATGAACCTTAAATATCATCTGTAGGACAGAAACTGTCAAAAGAATCTATCCTGGCAATAAAATTAACCTGTAATTATATAAACTTACTAAGTGTTGAAAACAGACTTTACGACAGAAAAAGATCTGCAAGGACTATATTAAAGAACTGCTCCTGGGTAAGAGTCTAGAGTAGTACTCTATCTTTCCCCCATCATTTTTTTATTAACAATACCCGTTCTGTACAAGCATATAATTTTGTCACAAGAGTGATTCATTACAAGACAATATATAAAACTTTATCAAATTGAGTACTACTTTTCTTCCTAACACAGCAATCCAAATATGGCTGAATGCATACAAAATGGCTGATGCGATAGCAATCAACAATATTTTTTAATGTATGCTATAAAACCTGCTTACCAAGGGGAGCCATATATTCTGAATCCCCTCACGGTCACTTCAGAGTCTTGAAGATAGATGCAGTTTGTTAGAAGAGACTGTACATTTTCATAGCTCTCTGGCTTCAGCTTAGAAACAGAGGGGAAATAGTAAAAGTCCTGCTTGATTAAGTCAGCCATGAATTCCTGGTCAAAGGTCAATTCATGATTTCCTGCTATCACAATCTTGTATTCATAGGGCAGGCTACCTAAAACAGTGAAAAACAAACAAATTACTTGTTTTATGGAAAATCCGATCAAAGAAAATAGGCAGACTCACAAACTATTATCGATTCCTATAATAGGCTCACATAGTCAAAACAATTGAGCACATTCCTTCTCAGTGTTACTATAATTCCTGGTGATTTCGGGTAAATGACATTGCTGTCTTCTTCAGGGCACAGTACGATTTAGCTTGCTTAGCATTATTGTGTTGAAACTACTTTCAACTCATCATCCTTAAATAACAGTCTGCAGACTTCTGCTCTAGTATTTACTTCCCTTTAATTGCCATTTGCGTTGCAAGTATCACTTACTGTGACAGCCATGACAACTCAGTGACAGAAATTAGGGTTCAAAGGAAACCAGCCACAATGCTCAATAAATTATCCCAGTTCTCATTCCCTAGCCCTGCGGTCATTGCCAGCTTGCACTGACAACGTCTCACTGACTAAAGGCTTGGGTCACCCATGGGTCTGCTGCCCTCCCTGCCCCAATATGAAGACCAAGACTTCAAACAGGACAGGCCTTGAGCTTCACTGTCAGAACTCCACATCCCCCAGAGATTCCTAGCTTTTCACAGCTCTATTTTCTCACTGACTTCCTTGGATCCATGGTCTATAATTTAAAGTGACTCATGTTTAAGAATATTTTACAACTCACAGCTAGTGAAAAACCTAACAGCAACCTCCTGCCTAAGGCAAGAGTACATATCCCCCCACACGTGTTTTCTCCTGAAAGCAATACTGCAAGAGAACCCTTCCACCTGACTCCACTTTGGTTATCAGCTGGACTCTACCCATAAAGCAGGGATCACCTGTCCTAGAAGACTTATGCTGAGTGCTTCATGTGCATTTGAGAGAAAATCTACAGGGTTTTTATGTCACCAGTCCATACGTGTGGTAGGAGTTGGCATTAGTAGGATGAAAGATAAAATCCAACAGTGGGATTCAGAGCTCCAGAAAGAGGAGAGAACGGAAACACTAGCCCAGAGACGTATATAAATGGCTGAACTCAGTGTCTTCTGAATGAAAATATCTGCATGACTCCTTCGTATTCATTTCAGACATTTCTGACTTTATTATTAGGAAAATTGATCTTACCATCCCGCTTGTGGACCCAATACATCTGTGCTTTTAGAAAATGTATTAAGGGAAACTCTGTTCGGGTATTAATTATTACACACAGACTCAATTATTCATGTGAAAGACTTCTTGAAATGTAAATACTGCAATTTTTGTTTCTGAAATGCTTCATGCTTCACTTTTTGCAGATGTATATTCCATTTCCACATTTCTGTGTGCACACATACACAAGTTTTAAATGTTTTTTACGTGCTGCATAATGTAAGGTCATCTACAGGACTTAAAGCATTCTGAGGAAAATAAGGAGAGAAAAAAAAAAAAAAAAGAAATCCAGCATGCCACAACATTGTTAACAATTCCATTTCTATTCTGTTTTGTAAATCTTTTCCAGCTCATCTGATCCATCCATCTAGCAGCCAAGAACCTGTATGAGCTGGTTATAGTTGTTGCTTCCACTAATGTATTTATGTCATGTTGCTGTCTGTGGGTGTTACATAGGCAAATTAGCAAATTACTCTAAATGTACAGTTACATTTATTATAGTGGCGGCCAGCAGCACTGCTGTAGTTACAGGTCTGTCAGCTTTTCAATTAACAATTCTGTTTTTGATGAGTTTGCAGCTCAGGTTTTTTTTTTTTCCTCTTTCTTTTCCTTTCATTCCATACCAGGCAGCAACTTGCTGAACCAATTTCTCTCCTTTGTCTCCACTAGCTCTCTCTACCCTCTGTCTAACACACTGAGGTAATTCTTTCTGCTTGCACATAAATTTAACAGTATTTTGTTTCAATTTTGTCCTTAGAAGACTTACAAACATGCTTCACACCAAGCGCTCTTACAGTACAAACTTAACCTTAGAAGGAAATCTTTGAAACCTTGCTCTTGGCTGGGCACTGCTGTCATGAACTATACGTAGAAGATGTATAAGACCCTCAGCTCTCAGATCACAGTACTGATTATATACATTTCCTGCCTTTCTAGTATGACGAATATTTACCAGTACTCACAGTCCACATGCAGAAGTCAGCACTGAATACTATACATATGTGCATTAAAGGTACAATCCCCCTACCATTAACCTCAAAGGCGCCACTACCTTACGGTAGTAGAAACACAATCCAATGTGGTGTGTGAATGCAATCCTGAAAAATTTTTAATGTTCTGAGTGCCTTCTACGGCCTTAAGATCCACCAAATACTATCAATATCTGATATTTACCTGAAAACTACCTTGGAATAGCAACTTTCTTTCCTTCTCCTGACCTACAGCATAATACTTTTTCTCGTTATATTTTGTTATTTAAATAGTTTGGTATTTTTTTATTCTAGTACATCCTCCCAACGCAAACACATGGTTTTCCAATCCTAGGCACAGACTATGGCACACTCTATAGCTCTGGCTTGGACTATGGCTGGACCAAGACCTCTCCAAGAGTACACAGCACAGTAGCCTGGAATTTTCATACATGCCCATAGTTTGAGAACAACCACTTTTTCATCTATTATTTTTTGCGTCACTAGTTTTGAATTCAGATTCTTCCAGGCTGACTGCTTGATCCTGCACCTTGTAGTGGGTACTAATGGCAAGCTGGGTATAAATAACTTCAGGCACACCTTCTGTCCCTTGTTGAACAAGCTGAGCTAAGAATGTTGAATTCACAGTCATGAAAGCTTTCATGGCTTGGCAAGAATGATTCCTACCTAAGACAGCAGTAGCTACAAACTAGCCAATGCAGCCTTCCTCTTCCTTTTACAGATTCCATGAAAATAAGCCTTACTAAAGGCAATGGCTAGCATTTTGATTTGCTGTTTTCCTTCCTTTTTCCTTTTGTTTTCCCCTTTTATTTCAAAAACAGTAATACACTAAAAAGCAAGTTCCTACCACTCAGCCACGTAGCCACCGTTGATACCATCAGAGTGGCTTTGAATGCATACAGGGCTGACCAAGAGCTCTGGGGTAATGGTTGGAGATGGGGCCCCAGGGGCATCTCCTCAATCCTTCCAGTGATGGGGTTAGGAGCTCAGGTGGGAGCGGTGCATCCCATCATCAGTCTGAGTATGGCAGAAGCTGAAAGCAGAGCTCCCACTTTTACTGCCAAGGGACCCTTTCTGAAGAATAAGGGCTGCTGTGCAGGATGATCTGAGGTCCCCTCCATCCTGGGTGTCTGTAAGTCTACACTGGCAAACGAATGAGAATTTCAAAGAGCCTGCAATGCTGTAAGAAATTAGATACTCATTCCATGTGATTCTAATGAAACAAATCTATAGCAAACAAGCAATTTAACAAGGACTAGAAAGTATATTCCATTAACTTCTGTATAAGTTTCTCGCATTATCCATTTAGCAGGTGAGAAGGACTAAATACTCGACTGATAGCCAATTAACATTTGATGCTAGCATATGGCTTTGCTGGTGGGCAGGTAGCAAACTTCATTTTAGCACAGGAACTCTATGCATACAAAGATATTAAAGAAAACTTATGGTTGTCACAGGAGTTCTGCACACATATCCAGGACAAAATTCATTCCCCTGTGAAATAAGTCAGCAAGCATATAAGAAATAGATCTGCCCTTCAGGAGTGCCAAAAAACACATGCAAGAACATATGCTATGGGAGTCAAAGATGATTTAAAAAAAAAAAAGTTATGAATTTGGGGAAAATATGTATTTTTTTCATGATTTCTTATTTTGATTAGTCAAATCAAGACAAGTGATTTTGCCAAAGACATGGGATTACCGAGTTCTTCACACCTGAAAAGCTTCTGCTAAAATAGCTGCATAGCCTGGAGAGGAAATACAACTAGACTGGTTGGAGAATTTCGCCTAAATAGTTTTCTGTATTAAAATCATTAAAATACCACTTGGATGAAATGAGATATATTTGGAAATTCATTTTATGGTTCTGACATTACCAAGGAAACAAAATGAAACAAAATGTCATTTAAAAATATTTTGGGGTGAATAAAAATTACACTTCTAAGCAAAACTTCACTTTTTTTTTTTTCTTCAAAATAATTTTTCCCTCTCCTGGAATGCCTAACTTGTGAGAAATAAAAGAGTATTTTTCTCCATAATCAATCTTTTCATCCTATTTGGATTTGGAATCAACAGAAATGCTTAGACATCAAAATTCTGTCAGAAACACATTGGCTCCAATTCAGTCCTGGGTTTCAGGGCTTTCTCTTTTAGGACACATCCAGTATTTGCTTTCTGCCAATTTGGAATGGAGCTCCAAGCAATGACCCACTCTTTCAGCCACTATCTAAACATGAGTTAACAGATTATTTTTCTTTCCTTTCCCTTCTCTGCTACATGATTCTTTATCTTTTTTCCTCATTTTTCCTTCTGTTTTTTTTTTTTTTTTTTACAATTCTCTTTTGTATGCAGAAAAATGCCAGAGTCGCATTTTCATGCACTTGATTTAGTAGTTTCAGAAAAGGGTATATTTTTCTTTCTTTTACAAATACAAAACCATTGCACCTTACAATTCTGTACCTTTCTCAGCATCCCTCTGAAAATGCCCACCAGATTTAAAAGTCATTTACTACAATAGGCAGAGGAGTGGAGGCCTCAAAAATAATTACGTTCCTTTGAGTTTCCTGGAAGTAAGTGCCTAATAAGACTCATGTACAATCCGGAAGAGAGGCTTCCGAAGGATGACAACTCTTATGAGATGCCCTAAGATCCCGCAGAAAATCTTCAAGACAAAATCTAAGAAGCCAGGCAGCAGTGGTTCTACTCCCAGAGCAACTCATCACACAAGAAAATCTGTCCCAAATCTCCTGAATAAACATGTGTGTTGCTCCGAAAGCAATGCTTCCTATTTATTTCCATGGAAACTACATCAAATACAAAGAGCACAATAACACTACTTGATAGAGGAAAATCTCAACTCCAAAGCACTATTTTT